GTACGCCTGTGACCACCTCAAAGTGCGCCTCCCCAGACCACGTCCGCCTCCCGCAAGGCGAAGGGAGAGCGAAGAGACTACCAGTCGAGGGAGCCACAGACCACCACAAATTACGCCTCCGCTGACCACGTCCACCGCCTTCCGCCCCTAAGCTGTTGGCCGCCCGAGAGCGCCTTTGACACCTTATGTGGGCCACCCATGAGCTGCATGCAAGGAGCAAGGCGGTGCAGTCTTTTTTGACTCAGGCGGTCACAGAGTGGTCTTGGCCGCCTTAGGGGCCCGAAAGGCGGTATTCCAAGCAGACCGCCCGCATGGCAGGCGGTCTGCGGAAGAGCAGGCCAAGGGCCAGCCGCAGAAAGGGCCGCGCAGAGCGGTCTGTCAGGTGAGACGCCCAGGAGGGCTAGGTGCAGCGGCCCTCGAGCGGCCGCCCGTGTTCTCGGGCTCGTCGCCGCCATCGCCCCTGGCAGGCGGGAAGGACGGGGTCCTGTCGAAGTGGGATGAGGCCGCCCTAGCCGAAGCCGCCTCTTCATTTCGAAGGCGGATGCCACAGTGTTTGCAGCGATGCGGGCAGCGCGGTCGGGGCGCCCGGCCATGATGGCGTTGCCTGAAACGCAGGGCCACGCACCACCCCAGGACGCGTCCCTCGTCCGTCTGGGGTGATGCCGGCCGGAGTCCAGTCACGTGGCAGGCGCTGGATGAAGAAGTAGCTCGCCTCCCTGGAGGCGGGGCATTCGAAACTCGTCAGCCTCGATCGCCCTCTCGATCTCATGGATCTGGGCGAGCTCTCTTCGGCAGAGGCGGAGCGAGGCGGGGTCGGTCACAGGTTCGGTCGTGATCGCCCCCTCCGACCGCGAAAGTGGAGGCGCTCATCCTTTCGGCGTTTTCTGAAGGGGATGTCATGCTCCAGGCAGTCTGGCCGCCGGAGCGGATTGCGCGGTCTGAGCGCATAAGGATCCGCCCTCAAAGGCGGTGGAATGGCAAGGCCTTTGCTTTGGCCCTTGACGCCTTTTCTGCCTGAAGGGCGAACGCCCTTTTGGCCCTTGCCCGCCAGTTCGGCCTGCTCCTGGGCGAACTGCTCTTGGAGCTCTCGCCCGATGTTAGGCGCGGCGCCCTTAGCACGGGCCTGGGCCTCTTGCCGCTCGGGCTGGGCTTCTCTGCGGTCCAGCGCCCGCAGCAGCTCAAAGATCTCGGGCGCCGAGTGACGGCTGTAGCTTTCGAAGCTCATCCCTAGTCTTGCTGCTTCCGCCTGCTGCAAGGCGGTGCGGAATGGATAATGCCCTGGCCACTGGCTCGAGCTCGCCCCCGGGCCGTGGTCCGAAGCCGTCGCCTTCATGGGGGCCCTGTAGCTGGACGGGGTCCGTCCTAGGGATGGTCGCCCCTTGGACCGGCGTATTGGTCAGGTCCGTAGGCGGGGCCTGCTGGTCGCCCGGCAATGCGCAAGGCGCAATACCGGGGGGGGGCGGCTTGCTGTAGGCATGATTGGGGAATCCGCCTCGGAAAGGCGGGTGGCGCCTTCTTCGGGGGCCCAGGCTTCGAAGCAAGCCGGGGGCTGCTTCCGCGGCACGCCCGGTATGGAAGGCTTTGCCGCCCCATCAATTTGGTCCGCCAGTTGGCGGACCGTCTGCTCTGCCCCCGTGGCGGTGGGCAGCACTGGGTCTGGATCCGCGCCTGTTGGGGGCCGATCTTATTAGCCCGTGAGCGGGTCGCGGCTTCGCCCTGCTGGGGCGGTGTCACGCCCGCCTGGGCGTCATCCGCAGCCAAGGTAGTAGGCGCCGTGGCTGACATAGAGGTCGGTCCAGCCGTCGAGCTGTTCGCCCAGGTAGGACTCAAGCGAGGTGGGACCGCCCGAAGCAGGCGGCCACACTGGATCCTGCGTCGCCATGCTGGCGGTGGGGGAAGAGACCGCCGCCAAGAACGAGTCGCCCAACGCGGGGTCCAAATTGTTCACATTCGCCTCCCACGAGGCGGTGACCTGGTTCTCGGCGTTCACCGCCGGGTCCAGGCGGTAGGGGGAGCTCGAAGCTTGCGCCCCAGCGGGGCCGCTGCCGCCCTCGTCATCAGAAGGCTCGGGCGTCGGGGTGCATCCCACCGCCCGACGAAGGCGGCGGAAGGGCTCCCGGCCCATATAGGCGAGGGCGCCCCTGAGGGTCGCCTCGTCCAAGGCCGCCAGGCGGCGGAGATCAGTTGCCGCCGCTGCGTAGTTGTCTGAGCCGCCATGGCTCAGGCGGTTAGGACAACAAAGTAGGGGCACAAAAAGGCGGTTCGAGCAATCAGGCTGCGGTGCGCGCCCGATTGCTCCATGTTCATGCGCACACAAGTGTGCTACAAAACAATTCACCTGGTTCGTTGCGCAAACAATACCCACAGCAGGCGAATATCCCTGCCCTTACCACAATGTGTTGCACCTGTTTGGCTGCTGTTGCCACTGTTCTTTGCTGGAATGCCTCATGTCATGTCCAAGGGCTGCATGCTCCAAAGCACATCCGAACAGCATGCACTTTGTTCAGGCCGCGAATGTCATTGCGCATTCCCTGCAATGAAGTTTGCTTGTGCTCTGCAAAAAAATCTTTGGGAGACCATCCAATCTCCATCTGCGCATCCTTTCTTCCAAGATGCATTCAGAATGCTTTCAAAGCTAGGTATCGTGTGTCAGGGACCTTTTGCCTGCAGATTAAACTTCATCCCTCACACCGCTATGCACCTCGGCACCCTGCTGCCTGCTCGCCTGCAATGCGGCTGAGGCTGCTGCAAGAGGCGGCAGTGGTGGCGGAACCAAGCCCTGCAAGACAAACAGGAAGAGCTACCCTCTGCTTGGCACTTGCAATAGCCACTTTTGACTTCTGTTGGCCCAGCATAGCAGAATGTTCCGACAAGCTCAGACACTTCTTCATCACGTACTTTGGGAAGCGTCAGCTCGTCTAGCATCTGATTCTTCTCACAACTTTCCCAAAGCATTTACCCTGGAGAAAATCCGGCCATGCCTCTCCAGAAGACACCTGCCGAAGGAGCTCTCACGTTGACCGACCGCAGGCGCTCTAAGCCACTAAAGATGGAGAATGCTTACAGTATTACATGTGGCCTCCACAACTAAGAGCAAAGGAATGTGAGCTTTCAGGCCTTGGCCTGTTGAAGCTGCCGGCTTTTTAGGTTCCAGGCATTCTGAATGGACTCTTCGATGGCCACGAAAGCCCTCCTTACACAAGGCTTTTTAATGCAACGGGGAGATCAATGCGAGCACGCAGGGAGGTCAGCAGCCGGCAGCCAGTCTAATGCCGAAATTTTCTACCAAGGCCAGGCCGCGATCGCTGCGTGTCCAGACGAAGTTTCTCGGATGAAACCTTGACAGCCATTCACAAACGTGACGTGCAAGCGGGGGGATCGGCAGGATTGCTGGGCTGCACAACTGCAAGGACCGTTGAGCGTAAGACCAGCATCTCTAGCAAATGATGCATTCTGAGATGGTTAATCTCGGTTGTGATAGCTAATCAAACTGAGATCTGGATGTAGAGTAAGCTGGACTGACTTTACCGAACCCTATTTGCGACGTAATGCCACGCCATCTTCGCTTGCAGGAGACCAGCAAGCTGTGCTGGAAGGCGCTCCTTGGATTGAGACTTGCTTAAATAGTGCAACTTGCAACTCTTGCATCTACAGAAGCTGCGACTGCTGCATAGCCAAGCATCGTTGCCTCTGCAGAAGTTGGAAATTTGGCCATGCGTAGTGCCGAGGCCATGCTTTCCTCATCAGGGACCTTCGAGGAAAGACAACTGTAGACGCGGCTCAAATCCATCTCAGGGCCAGGAGATTGGAGGCTATGTAAAATGCGGGAAAGTCGTGGCTCAAAAAAACTTCTTGAGCGGGAGTTTGGGGTGCAAGCTAAGCGAGGAGTCAAAACAGCTGACCTGGCAAACATGGGAACCATGGTCGCACTGTATGGAAATACTGAAATTAGCACCTGCGGCGTGAGACGTCTTGCAAGATATCTCTAAACTCTACACCGATTGTGGTCTTACTCCGGGCGGAGCTCGACGAAAAGAGCTTGACGCTTGAAGCGGGAGCCCCTGCCTAAAAGCTAGTACCGACTTGCATAAAGCACATGCGCAATCATTCTTGTTTCTGGACTGAGGGCCCGGGCTGTCATCGCCATGGCTGCGCGCCGTGCGACCAAGCCCACTTAGTTTAGGTTGGTGTTGAAGGTGGTCAACAAATTTCCTTGTCCGCCTTCTTGCCAATGCATTTCCTACTTCGCAAAACCAGAAATTCTTCCAAGAGCACACATGTGGCTCTTATGAACCTTTGAGCAATAAATTCTAGAGCTTGGTTCATGCAAACACCACGCGATCGCTCACCCCCAAAAAACACTCGAGTTAAGCTTCTTTACCTGTGGTCCCGGCTGGCAACGGTTTCAATTGCAGCGAAGCCGTCTTTCCTATGACGCGCATCAACGCAAAAGCGTCGTGTCTCGCTGTGCATCTAAAGGCTAGGAAACCCAAGCAGAAAACTACAATGCCACGCCTGATGCAGAGCTTGGCCGTCGACTCCTGGCAAGACTCACCTGCACTGCACAGCCGAGCTCTCAGGAGCAGCTTCTGGGACACACCTCCGCCTACCTCGTAGTCTGCAAAATCAATGACATCGACCTTGCTGGTGATAAAGAAAAGGCTCTAAACAACAACACAATTAAAAACTGAAACGATAAGAGCCAGGTCTGCAGCAGATGCTCGGCTCTTCTTGCGGGGCGCCTGGCACAGGTGTCAGCCGAACATGAAATTGAGCAGGCACCCGCCAGTTGACGCATTGGACTTGCAACTGAGCACATAATGAAAACTGGGGCGCAGCTCCCTGCCTGGGTATGGGTGTTTGTCATGGCATTTGGGGAGGATCCTTCTCTGCCATCCTGGCAAAGACTTCAGCAAGCAGTGAGAAATTGTATGTCCACCTCCCGAAAGCATGAGTGATCATTGCATTTTCCTGGTTTTGAAATTGCGGAATCGCCAACCCTCGGGGCTGGATGGTCAGAGGAGATGGAAACCTTCTGAACTGCAAAGCCAGCCCACCCTAGAACTCAGAACGTATACAGTGCTACATAGATGACACATTTCATTCAAATCACAAGCGGAAAAGACTGGATTTGGGGAGGTTTCATTCCAGGGCGACTGGCAAAATTGCAACCAGCAGGGCTTCATGATTCAACTAATTACTGCGAGGTAAGATCCAAAGATCAATTATTCCTGACTGCGCCAACTTTCATGGAAATCTGCTTTAACCTAAAACCTCGAACCTTTCAATATCCTGTACGGGTATGTGAAAAGCCGTTTCACGTCAAAATGGACGCTTGGGCCCCTACTGCCACCCCCTCCCCACACACCCCTTTTTCGTTGGTTAGCTAATTCAAAATAAAAATGTTGCCGAAGGCACCGCGAGCGGGATGCCACCAAGCATAAGCCCGCGCTCGCAGCTGGCTTCTTGCGTAACGCACAGTGCGCATGGCTCGCTACTGTCCCCACTGGGCCGCGTGTGTGCTGCCAAACGCGCAGCACGCTCCTGCCCCAAGTGCGCCTCTTGCCCAACGCGCCGCGCGCACGATGCCTTGGTCAACGCGCCGCACACAGACCGTCTTTTGCCTAACGCGCCACGCGCGCATACGCAGTTCCTTCAGAATACGCATTTACTTGTTTTCCGCCATGTTCTTTGTTTCTTTAATCCTTTTCATAACGGAATCTGTACAATCACAAGCATGTCAATCAACCTGTCCCCAATGTCCGGAAATTAATTGCTTTCCTACATTTTTCTGCTTTCAGCCGTTTCTGCGAAGGAATTCATATAGAGACGGTCTATTCACATTTTCTCATCTTCAGGGAACTCCCTGTCTTCAGTTCTTCATTTAAAGGGAGTTTGAAACAGTCTTTCTTGAGGGACTGTTATGAAAGACGGCGTAATCGCATTCCCTAAAACGTTACACAATGCCTTGGTTTTTTCTCTTTTTCTTCTTGTTTTTCATATTTTTTAAAAAGGCATAAATATGAACACCTGTCTATTCACACTTCCTAACACTACGGAATTCCTTGTTTTCCTCGTTTTCTTGTTGTTTCTTAAGGCTTTTGAATAAAGGAAATTATATGTATATATGACTAGACTCTATAAATATATACATATGTATGTATGTATGTATAGAAGACTGAACATTCACAAGTTCCAAATTTTTGGGAATCCCTTGCTTTCCACCAGGCATCGTGTGTTTTACGTGTTTTTCAAGATTGTCTACTCACATGTCCCAAAACTTGATTTTCTACTGGTGTTCTATTGTTTTTACTGATTGTTACTGTTGTTGGTTTTCAATTGGTTTCAATTGGTGTTCTGTTTGGTTTTGGGGTTTCTAAAAATGTGTTTTGCTGGTGGCTCGGTATTGATTTTCTATTGGCTTCACTGGTTTTGCTTGGTAACAAATCACAACCCTACCTTGGGGGCAAAGCCCATATCCCGGACCGCGACAGTCCCAAAATGTTGTGCTTTCGGGGGCTTCGAGATAATCTCGAACCCCCTCTAGCATTAAATAGGTATCAGTATGAGGGCGTGTTGCTTGCACTTAACGCGCACGCGACTTGCACTGAAGGAACTTGGCGCGGTCCTTAACAGCCCCTTCTGCTCATCTAGAGAGCTTGGCCGCTTCCTACGCTCGCCTGTTGCCCATCTGGCTCCTTGACCCAAAGCAAACTATGCAGCAGAGTTACGCGAAGCAAGGAACATTTGGACAGCAAGTCCCATGCCCACGAGCAAAGAGCAGCCGGCGCCGAGACAGTCTGCCAAGATGCCGGCTGGACCGAGGCTAGCAAGGAGTACTGACAGTACAAGGTCGACCAAACACAGTTTGTTCTTGATCAGGCGTTTGCAAAAACATCAGCTCATGTCTCAAGCCACATTCTCAGCATGCTAGATGCGCCACATCATGTTTCAGTCGTTCTCTCTAGCGCATCAGTTCAGAAGTCCCCTGCTGATGGCCACTAATCTCCAAGCCAGGTCCTGCTTTGCAGCATCTGCTTCGCAGCACAAGATTGGCCATGGACGCAGCATACCGTGACTTCAGATAAAGCTACCAAGTGCCAAAAAAGCAATCTCAATTCAAAGGCTCTGGCATTACGAGGCGTTGTCGCAGGTGTGGCAGCAAACGAACCACTTGGCGTTGAGGTCCAATAGCTTGTGTCCTGAGTTTAGAGGCAATGGCCATGTTGGGCAGGCTACAGGACCGAGCCACCTTGACGGACTCAGCATACTCTTGGAAATGGACACTAGGGCGTCATACAAGCCACCACGATAAGTGCATGCTACAGTAAACAGTAAAGATGCGGCGAGGCCCAAATGGCAACCATATCGCAGTCTGAAACAGCTGTGATTGAGCGACTGGCACTTCTTGGCGTAAGCTGCTCATCCTTCACGCAAGATTAATGCTGGCTTCGGTGGTTTTTGAACGTTGGCTCCCTCAGCGAAATTGGCCTCACCCAGCTTGGCACGAAGCGCCGCTTGATAGGTCTCCCAGCCTGGCAACTTTGCTTATTCCTCTGTCAAGATGTCCCTCGATCGTCTCTCACCGTCGTCAGATCGCCTTCTGTGCATTCGGAGCAGTAGGTCCGTCGCCGCCATGTTGTGCCTGAGACACATTGAGCAGCTTCCAAGACTGGGCAGCACAGCAACGAGATGTTTATGGTATCAAAGGTGTCAAGGCCCAAGCACGTCGATGTTGCCACCTAGGACGCACTGGAGGTTGTGAATTTCTGGAGGCAACAAACTCGTGTCAAGCCGCCCAGTCCCAGCAGTGGCTGCAGCGTGACAGCTCCGGATATTGGTCCTGCAAGAAGCACTGTGACCAGCTGAAAAAAAAAAGGCACCTCTGTAGTGATCAGCCGAGGCCTCGCTGCACTTCACTGCGTGAAGGATTCCCTGCATTGCCTTGACACGCTTGACAAGAAGCTTTGAGGCGGAGAAGAGGTGCCCGAGCCTGCCAGGCACCCTGGCTGCAAGGCACTCCACGTGGCCAGTTGGACCAGCAGGCTCCGCTCCAGGAGTCGGCCAAGCTTGGAAATCCCAGCCTCAGAAATTGGCAATTGCAAAGCTCGAGCTTGTCCGGCTAGCCAGGCACCATGCCAGAACAGCCAGAGCCAGCCACTACCACCTCGTGCTTTCCTGATCAAGAAACACTTCCAATGTCTCGCATGTCTCGTCACTGTCCCCACCTTGACCACAGGTGCCCAGCGGCCACGAGGAGCCGTGTTAAGGGCATCGAAGAAGCAGCCAACAACGCACTGCAGCCTTCACGCTATCCATCATATGCAGTTTTTATCAACTGGATTTTCATGCTGGGCGCAGTTCTCCCCGGCCTAGCAAGCCCAGTGGTCCCTGGATCACACGAACAAAGCGCCCCAATCCGGTCTGAGACCTTTAGCAAGTCTGCGCATCGGTTCTGCTCGTGACCACTTCTCATTCAGGTCGCAACAACCTGCACACGCAACCATGAAACCTACCTGACAAACTACCGGATTGCAGTCAAGAAGCGCGTCAATCAGCAGCAGGCCTCGAGTCACAATGAAGTGGACTGCACCAAAGGAAACTCATGGGCGTGGCTCTCACGCATCTCACTTTTTTACACATGTCCCACTGAGGTTTGGGCAAATGAAGGGCAAAGCATCCAGCTGTTCCGGTGAGAGCAGCGATGTGATGGATCTGTGGTCAAGGGCGGTTTTTTTCCGGAAAGCGCTGCGAAGGGTTCTTCCCTAGACTGCGTCGGTGACTTGTGATGCTTGAAGCACTGTTGGGTGCTTCCGACCTAGACCTAGACTGTGGAAGATTGTCAGAATGATAGAGTTCAGAGCTTGTCAAGCGGGAGGCCAGACATGCAAAAATCGCGCTGCACAGAGCGATCGTGATACCAAAACAATCCAACAATGAACGAGATTCTGGCGCTCTGATATGCGGAAAGTGCAGTACTGTCGGCGGACATGATGCGTCGTAACCAGAAACCCTCCAATTGTGGATTTGGCACATTGACGTGTCAAAAGTGTCAAGTTGTGACTTTTTCGGCGTCGTTCGCTACGTCGGCGCCCAGGTATAGACCTGACATGTCGTCCTGCGAAAGCCTCGAAAAAAAAT